CCCTTTTAAGGCCCCCTCCCATTGCTGCTGTCCCCTTTGCCACACCTCCCAAATGTGCCACTTTTAAAGGTTTCTCCTCACACGCTGGGTGTTTAAAATTTTTTGACTTTGGGTGCTGGCAGTTTACGGGCCTCCTATACCCCTGTGCCGGGCCCCCTAATCTGCCATGGGCCCCATTCCCCCGCCTCCCCCGCTGCTCCCAAGGTCAGGCAAACCCCGTAGTCACACAGGGGGGGAAAACTTCTCATGTAATGAACAGAGAAATCAAAATTTGGCGGGTTTTTCCGCGAAAAAACTGAAAATGGGAAAACCATTTTTGACCGACAAGGGAAAGTACTTGGGGGGGGTCTGCTCTCCCGTAAAGGGAAAGGTTGTGCCATGCCCCATGCATGGTTTCACGTTTTCCCAAATCTGGTTTTTCAAGCTTTCCCTAAAATCCACCATCCCCACTGCAAGACATCCTTAAAATGTAAACGTAAACTTTGCTTTGCATTTCACCATTCCTACCCCGCAAAGCACACCCCCCTTTGAGCCCAGCGGCAGAAGGAATTCACAGCACCCCTGATCTGCGACGTTGCAAAAAGGGGGAAAATTCAACCCTACAAGGTTAAAAACCCCCTTTTTACGAAAAAGCAAAAGGCCTTCACCGATTTCCTGATTTTTACAAGGATAAAGGTACCCCCCCTGTGAAAACTTCGATTCAGCCTTTGGCAGCTCATGCGTAAACCCCTTTCCGTTGCTCGGGCCCCCTTTTGGGGGAGGCCCCGCTTTTCGTGATTCGGCCCCAGGACTATGGATTAAAACCCCGTCTTTTCCTCTGTTGCACGCCTGGAACAAATTTTTAAAACCAATGGCTGGAAAGGGTGCGGAAGCGTGGCGCACAGATCTAAAAGCCACATAAACCCCTGTGGGGGAAAGGAAAAGGAAGAAAAGGGGGAAAGGTAGGGGGAGGACATTGGTGCTCAGGAAATTATTGAGTGAAAGGGGTTTTGGTTTTTTCCCACTCAGCGGGACGGGAGTGGGGAGCGGGGGCATTGGTAGAGGAGGAGGAGGGGGAAACAGGAGGACCCAAAACGCACCGTGGCAGTATGGGTGTGGGGAATGGAGGCAGGGAGTTTTCCCCCGCATTCCTTGGGCCCCAAAAGGCCCATAGGGGTGCCCCCGGTTGCTTGGGGTGCGACAGCCGAATAATAACCCTCAGACAGAGGGTTTACTTTTGGGCTGTCCCCCCTTGTTTTGGGCCCTCGCTTTTCCCCTTCCAAAAAAGGGGGCCTTTTTTACACCTGCTGAAGGGGGGCCAAAAAAACGTACATTTAAAAAAAAAACCCATGTAGTCAGTTGGCTCTCCCTTTTTTGGCGCCAACGTCCTCCTCAGACAGGGGGGCCCTGTCGCTGCGTTCCCCGTCCCAGGCAGCAGGGGAGGGGTGGGGTGGAGGAGCAGGGCACCCCACCGCAGCGGCTGCCTCAGTCTGCAGTCGATGATGAGTATTTTCTTTAAACCAGCGCAGTGAGGAAACTACTAACCAGCCAGGCAAGCAGCATCAGGTGGAACCTGGATCAGGACCATCAAAACAACAGGCAATGTGGCACCTACTTGGACAGCCTCCCTGCCAACCGAGGTATGACAATCCCCTTGACTACTGGGCAAACGAAACGTTATACCTTTTGGCCCCAACTAGCTGAATTTTGCCCAGTGAAAGGGCTGCGTCATGCCCGTCCAGATAGCGTGTGCATTCGGGAGCAGCTGTGCTTTTAGTGCGGCATGTGAGGACTATTCATGGCCAATTATTCCGCGGGAGGACACGGACTGCGTCCACCCAAGAGTGTAGGAAGAGACTCACGTTTGTGAAAATGAATCAGGCGTGGATTAGTCTGGATTTCAAACCACTAGTTCCCTTCCTGACACAACTGACTAAATCCGCCATGAATCATGCCCCAAACATGTGCCACTTTCAGGTCTCCTCACACTGCTGGTGTGTTCCATTTTTTTGTCATAGGGTGCTGGCAGATTACGGGCCTCCATAGCTGCTGCCAGGCCCCTAATCTGCCATGGGCCCCTATAAATACCGCCTCCTCATGCTGCTGCCAAGTCCAGAGTCTCTCATGGGTCCCTGTACGGCCTCCCATTGCTGCTGTCTCCATCGCCACCACTCTGCCATGTGCCACTTTCAGGTCTCCTCACACTGCTGGTGTGTTCAATTTTTTGACATAGGGTGCTGGCAGATTACGGGCCTCCCATAGCTGCTGCCAGGAAAGCCCTAATCTGCCATGGGCCCTGTTCTATACCGCCTCCTCATGCTGCTGGCAAGTCCAGAGTCTTTCATGGGTCCCTGTACGGCCTCCCATTGCTGCTGTCTCCATCGCCACACTCTGCCATGTGCCACTTTCAGGTCTCCTCACACTGCTGGTGTGTTGAATTTTTTGACATAGGGTGCTGGCAGATTACGGGCCTCCCATAGCTGCTGCCAGGCCCCTAATCTGCCATGGGCCCCATATACCGCCTCCTCATGCTGCTGCCAGGTCCACCAGTCTCTCATGGGTCCCTGTACGGCCTCCCATTGCTGCTGTCTCCATCGCCACACTCTGCCATGTGCCACTTTCAGGTCTCCTCACACTCACTGCTGGTTTTCCATTTTGTCATAGGTTGCTGGCAGGATTACAGGCCTCCTATAGTTTTTGTGCTGCAGGCCCCAAATCTGCCATGGGCCCCCGTACCGCCTCGTCCACGCTGCTGCTGGGTCCACAGTGTGACATGGGTCCCTGTAACCGCCTCCATTGCTCCCACTCTGCCATGTGCCACTTTCAGGTCTCCTCACACTCCTGCTGGTTTCCATTTTGCCATAGGTTGCTGTATGGCCTCCCATTGCTGCTGCCTCCACCGCCACACTGTGGCTCCAAACACTGGTTTTGGCCCCGTGACTGGCCAAATGAGTGAAGTGTGCGGTGATTCTAAGATCGACGGCACTCATCTGCATGTCATACTGACTGACAGTATTATTTCTCTTCCCCAGCAGACTCCAAGGGCATTTAAATTAAAGGTACAGTGTTCTGCACTAATATTAGGTCTCTCTGAAGCCTAGAAACACACCCTTTTTTAAGTTAAATTCACAGCGAATATATTCGACTCGAATCGAATATTTTCCACGAATTCGCCGAATCAGTCGAATCGAATTTTTGGATACTTCGCTCATCTCTAATGTTCATCATAGTTGATGCACCTTAAAAGCTCTTTTCAAGTTTTCATACGTTTTCTTTCATTGAAACTGCGTAAGCAACTGGAACTGACGGCAGCTGATTGCCATTATGGAGCAAAACAGCTTTAAGACTCGCCTTTGAAGCATCAATGAACAGCCTCCACTCATATGGATCATAGCATACGCCGATGGCTGAGATTAAACCATGAACATTTTACATACAGCAATATCACCTTCCTGGACGAAGAATGGGATCAGATCTATCTGACAATGACGGTAGAAAGACATACGAACATCACTTGCTAGGAGATTCCACTGTTGTAGTCTTCACCCCAAAAGCTCTGCCTTGTTCTTCGGAAGATCCAGGTCTCTGATAAGATCGCTCAATTCCACTTGTGTAATGAGGTGTGGTTCAGTGGGTGTGGATGGAAGAAAGTCTGGGTCATGTGAGGTTGACGGTTGATGACTACACGCTTCAGGTTCTTCCTCACTTGACTCAACCACGAAGGATTCTGGTGCTTTAGGAATTGGTAGCCCCTCTCCATGAGGAACTGGACGTAATGCTGATGGAATATTTGGATAGTGCACAGATAACTTTTTCTTCTTATTTAGCCCTTTTGTTGGAGGCACCATACAAAAGTAACAATTACTAACATGATCTGTTGGCTCTCTCCAAATCATTGGCACAGCGAAAGGCGTAGATGCCTTTTTTCCATTCAAACCATTGCTCCAGTGCAGTCCCACAAGAATTGCAGCATATATGTGGTGCACCAGCTCTTGTCCTGGTCTCCTATTTTGCAGCCAAAATACAAGTTGTAGGCTTTCTTAATCATTCCTGTTTATTCTCCTTTTTTGTGAGATAAAAGTTATTTCACCGCAGATATAGCAGAAATTATCTGCTTTATTCACACAAGTTCGAGGCATTACTGAGTAGCCTATATAAGCATAAAACGAAATGTAAAGACGCTGTCGAACTACAATCAGCTACAGATACTGCAGCTTTTATGCAGTGAAGTGATGCAATTAAAGGCTAATATTGCATCATCTCAGTATACATGCAATTTTCTATTGGTCACCAGTATCAATTGCGCAATATGCAGCTGAAGTTGCATCATAATTTTGAATGGCTTACGCCATTAGATGGGTGAATATATCATGGAAACTAGAGCCAATCAACATTTTTTAGGGTCATTTTCTTTTTCAGCACCCCAAAATTATGTAAGATTAGCTAATTTTATGCCCAAAACATTTTATCTGTTGCCAAAGGTATGTTCAAGTCTGCCCCAAGCAGCATTAAGGCCTGCAGCAGGGTTGTCAATATGAACTGCTTTGAGCCTCTTGATGCATTCAGTAGACTGGGGACCTAGCCATCTGATGAGTAGATCTAATTCCTCTGTGGCATTGATGTCCAGGTCACTCATTGTGGCCTTAAAAGTGGATTTCCAGGCTCTGTAATTTTCAGGCTTGTCATAAAACTTGGTGAGGCCTGTCTTAACAAGCTCTCTGTGGAGCATGTATTTAGCAAACTGTGATATGTCTGTGTTTTCAGATTTTGAGTACATGACTGCAGGTGGAACAGAGTTGGTTGTGACAGTTGGTGGACTTACATGGAGTGACTTGGGAACATATGTTGCTGCTAAGGCATTCAATGCCAGATCTGGCTTAAAGTCCATTGGCATGTTAGTTTGTAGAGTAGTGTATTTGCTAGGAGCTACTCTGTTGGTGCAAAAGTAAAGTGGATGGTCTTTTAAATACATACCAGTGTCTGTGGCTAACAGATGCTGCAGTCTGATGTATTGGAGGATATAAGGGCAAATCGTCTTGAGGTACAGTAGGTCAGAGAACAGACTTTGATTGACTACTTTGACTGCTGTGACAGGGAGTTGACATTCTGGAGAGGTGTGTGAAGAATCTGAGACATAAGATAAAACTGAGTGTCTGTAACTGTTGTCTCTTTCGTTTTCACTAGTGGCTTGTTCTAAGAACCTTAACCTTGCCATGGCTATGGCATGCTCACATTGTTTTTCCAAATCTTCAATTTCTGCCTTTTGACTTGTGGCTTCAGCTTCTTTCTCTGCTTTCTGATGTGCGGACTGAGCCTCCATTTCTGCTTTCTTATCTATAGGGATTTGGAAGATCCTGAGGAGCGTCTAGTAGACACAGAGCGATAAGATCTGGATTCATGGAGCTGTGTTATTCTCACTTCTGCCTTTGTCTTTGTTCGCACCACTAAATTGTCTCTTTCAAGATTGAGCTCCTCAAAACTCATTAATTCTTCCAATGACCCTTGAGTGTTGTACCGCTTTAAGAGAGCAATATATTTAACACACAGTCTTTGATAATTCTCATAAGCAACATTCAATTGCTGGATAGTGCCCTCTAGAGGTATTGGCTCATTACATTGTTGGGAGAACAGACATGCATTTAACAGCATTAGACCATAAGTCATTAACATTAGATAGCAATTCTTCCCTGTCAGCACCAAGATTCCCTGCAACTTCAAGGTTGGTTTTGTTAAGTGTTTTTCTCTCTTATCTAAGTCCTGCTCTGGATGAAGCTCTGATTGTGGTTGTGTATTAGTTTCCCCAGACTGTATATTACTTTCCTGAAACAACATGTTAGCAAGGAGAGGGGTTGATAGAAAGTTTACAGAGAAATGTATACATTTTTCTGTGGGTGAGCTCAGGTTTCCCAGGCAATGGTTGCAGAAAAGTTTTCTTTTACTTTCTTACAAGATTTCACAGACAAGTCATGTGCTAATGCCTACAGATGCAGTGTATAAACTTGCAGTTGTAAGACATTCACATCAATTTGTCCTGACACTGATGAGTGTGTTGCTGAGATATACTTGCAGGCTTGTGTAGAGATGGCTGCACTCTCTGTTAGCTGTCCATATAACATCTCACCGTGTATTCAAAGCTAGCAAGGATCCTATGAAGACATTTCACTTTTGACTGTTCCGTCTCTCCAATCTAAGAATTGAAAGTGTGATCTCTGTAACTTACAGTTGTGATGAGATAGTGATAACTCCAATCTTCGTTGAATACCACAGGCAGTGACTCAATCGGATGACACCTTGTAGATCTTGTGAAGTTTATTCCATAAACTGAGAGAATCTTACAACAATGAACATCGGATAGGTCAAAAGATCATAATGTGATCTGCTTCAATAAGACATGAGGCTTGCTGAAATGCATTACTGGGAAAAAGGGGGTGGGCTAGCTATACAGCATGAACTAAACTAAAGGAAAGGGAGGAGCAGAGACAAAATATAAAGAACACTTAAAGGCATATGACAGTCATGTAAAACATGACAGCCCCCAATACACATTACATCCTTTGATTTGACTTCCTCATTAGGAAGGAAAGAACTTCAACCCAAATCTGTTCCCCAATTTTCTCAATTTCATAAAGCTGGGTATACAGGTGAAACTCGAAAAATTAGAATATTGTGCAAAAGTTCATTTATTTCAATAATGCAACTTAAAAGGTGCAACTAATATATGAGATAGACTCATTACATGCAAAGCAAGATAGTTCAAGCCGTGATTTGTCATAATTGTGATGATTATGGCTTACAGCTCATGAAAACCCCAAATCCACAATCTCAGGAAATTAGAATATTACATGCAATCAATTAAACAAGGATTGTACATAGAGCAATATCGGACCTCTGAAAAGTATAAGCATGCATATGTACTCAGTACTTGGTCTGAGCCCCTTTTGCAGCAATTACTGCCTTAATGCGGTGTGGCATGGAAGCTATCAGCCTGTGGCACTGACTGAGGATGGAAGACCAGGATGCTTCAATAGCGGCCTTTAGCTCTTCTGCATTGTTCGGTCTCATGTCTCTCATCTTTCTCTTGGCAACGCCCCATAGATTCTTTATGGGGTTCAGGTCAGGCAAGTTTGCTGGCCAATCAAGCACAGTAATCCCACGGTCATTGGACCAGGTTTTGGTGCTTTTGGCAGTGTGGGCAGGTGCCAAGTCCTGCTAGAAAATGAAGTCAGCATCCTCATAAAGCTCGTCTGCAGAAGGAAGCATGAAGTGCTCCAAAATCTCCTGGTAGACGGCTGCGTTGACCCTGGCCTTAATGAAGCACAGTGGACCAACACCAGCAGATGACATGGCTCCCCAAATCAACACAGACTGTGGAAACTTCACACTGGACTTCAAGCATCTTGCAGTGTGTGCCTCTCCATTCTTCCTCCATACTCTGGGTCCTTGGTTTCCAAATGAGATGCAAAAGTTGCTCTCATCAGAAAAGAGGACTTTAGACCACTGAGCAACAGACCAGGTCTGTTTTTCTTTAGCTCAGGTAAGACGCTTGTGACACTGTTTGTTGTTCAGGAGCAGCTTGACAAGAGGATTACGACATTTGAAGCCCATGTCCAGGATCCGTCTGTGTGTGGTGGCTCTTGATGCACTGACTCCAGCCTCAGTCCACTCCTTGTGAAAGTCCCCAACACTTTTGAATGGCCTTTTCCTGACAATCCTCTCCAGGCTGCGGTCATCTCTGCTGCTTGTGCACCTTTTTCTTCCACACTTTTCCTTTCCACATAACTTTCTATTAATGTGCTTTGATACAGCACTTTGGGAACATCCAACTTCTTTTGTAATTATCTTTTGAGGCTTTCCCTCCTTATGGAGGGTGTCAATGATGGTTTTCTGCACAACTGTCAGGTCAGCAGTCTTTCCCATGATTGTGATTCCTACTGAACCAGACTGAGAGACCATTTAAAGGCTCAGGAACCCTTTGCAGGTGTTATGGCTTAATTAGCTGATTAGATTGGGACACTTTGAGCCTAGAATATTGCACCTTTTCATAATATTCAAATTTTCTGAGATTGTGGATTTGGGGTTTTCATGAGCTGTAAGCCATAATCATAACAATTATGACAAATCACAGCTTGAACTATCTTGCTTTGCTTGTAATGAGTCTATCTCATATATTAGTTTCAGCTTTTAAGTTGCATTACTGAAAAAAATGAATTTTTGCACGATATTCTAATTTTTTGAGTTTCACCTTTACATGTAATGCTTTTTTTTTTGTTCAAGCTGGTTGAATGAAAAAAAAAAAACCTGACAGATTCCCACATCAACACAAGCAATATGTGATGTATGGATCTTTGCCCTTGTTCTATTGTATTCTGATAGCGGAGACTCCTCCTCAGAATACAAAGATCAGCGCCTGCAGCCATTGGCTGCGAGCACTGATTGAATGCTGGTCTTCTAGCATGATCGTTTGACAAAAGCTGGTCATTAGATCGGCTTCTGTTGAACAGACAGTGGTACACATGTGTGCAAATTCAGTCAGTTCCTGGTGAACTGACCAAATTTCAGTACATGTGTACCAGGCTTAAATGTCTTTACAGACATCGGATGCATGGCTTCTCACTGCCTTGGCCATGTGTACACTTTACACTTTACTAGTGCATTCTCTACATGCACTTGACATGATCATAGAAAATAATAGACACCTATGACATAAAAAAAAGGAAAGAAAAAAAAAATAAATATTGAGCCATGAGGAAAAAAGTCTGAATGTACTGTATTTAACCACCTTCCGCCCACCCTATAGTACAATGACGGGTGCAAGGTGATTCTCTTGTTCTGATAGGACGTCATATGACGTCCTCCCTTTCTCACCACGCATGCGTGGCTCAGGAAACGCGCAGCTCGGTCTATTGCCGGTGCGCTGTATCCCTCGGACACAGCGGATCACAGAAAGAGCCAAAGATGTCGGCTCGGTCATGTGATCAGCTGTTTCCAATCACAGCTGATCACATGTAAACACGGAAATGCTGGTTACCGGCATTTCTCTACTTTCGAGCTGTCACGCTGACAGCTCGAGAGGAGAGGAGAGTCAGTAATCGGCTTTCCGCGGAGGGGACATGTACACTGATCATCAGGGCACTGATGATCAGTGTGCCCTGATCATCAGTGTGGCCCCAGAAGTGCCACCTGTCAGTGCTCATCAGTGCCACGTGCCAGGGCCCATCAGTGCCACGTGCCAGTGCCCATCAGTGCCACATCAATGCCACATATCAGTGCATACCAGTGCACATCAATGCCACATATCAGTGCCCATCTGAGCTGCCTTTCAATGTCACCCATCAGTGCCAGTCAGTGCCACCTATCAATGCCAATCAGTGCCACCTATCAGTGCCAGTCAGTGTCGCCTATCAGTGCGCATCAGTGCCAGCCAGTGCTGCCTATCAGTGCCAGTCAGTGCTGCCTATCAGTGCCATATATCAGTGCCATATATCAGTGTCATGTATAAGTGCTGCCTTTCAGTGCCCATCAGTGATGCCTGTCAATGCCCATCAGTGCAACCTACCAGTGCCTCCTCATCATTGCCCATCAGTGCCACCTATCAGTGTCCATCGGTGCAGCCTATCAGTGCCCATCACTGTAGCCTCATTAGCGCACATCAGTGAAGGAGAAAAATCACTTATTTACAAAATTGTATAACAAAAACTAAGAAAAAACTTTTTTTTTCAAAATTTTCAGTGGTTTTTGGTTTGTTTAAGAAAAAATAAAAATCCCAGAGGTGATTAAATACCACCAAAAGAAAGCTCTGTCTCAAAAAAATGATAAAAAGTTCATATGGGTACAGTGTTGCATGATTGTCATTCAAAGTGTGACAGTGCTGAAAGCTGGAAATTGGCCTGGGCAGGAAGGGGGTATAAGTGCCCGGTAGGCTAGTGGTTAACTGTCTGAATGTTTATATTTAACCGATGAGAAAGGGTGGAAGTGGATTATGAAGTTTAGAGTAGACTTTTTTTATTGCTGTTTTCAAAGGCCGTGATGTTTGTATAATGTGAAATATACAATATTGGACATACAATCTAAAAAAATAGAAATACATTTTATGTATTCCGTTAAAAGCATAGCTACACGTGCCTGGCAAAGCTACACATTTGTTTGCTAAATCACATTATTGTGAACATTTTTCAGTCGCTTGTGGACACAAACTAATGGAAGAAAAACTCAATTGAAAGCAGCTTTAGTAGCTATTTTCATTGTACCCTTGAGCATTTTCTAAGTTTGTGTTTAATCACAGAATCCTGGCCATGATGTTTTTGACAGGTAATTTCCTTAATACACTTGACAGAGATGGATTACATAGGAGCATATTGGATCCTTTGCCTTTGTTTACAAATGATAAGACTAGATTAAGGTTATCTTGCACTAAATGCCTGGCATGTTATAGGCTTCTAATAACTCTCTGGAAAACAAGGAAAGTGTTTTCAGGTTCATAAACTCATGACCATCTGGAATAATCTGGCCCATTTAACATTTCTTTGCATGCAATATTCAGAGTTTAAAGGGAAACTATTATGCTTTTTCATTGAGTACATCTTTTTAAAGTAATATTTGATGTGACTTTGACATTTAACAAACTTTGTGTTTAAAATATTTATAACTTTATATGAGCATTTCCCTCTAATGACTCTCTGTATATCGGGTAGTAAAAGCAAACCACACAACAAATTTGGCCATCTCACTTGAAGCAGATGCTCACAGATAATAGGCAATCTACATCACTGCTATTAACACCATTTTCTACAGCATGTTTATTTGTTGTGGTTTCGGTGGGCCCTTCCATCATCTATTTAAACACCACTGACCCTAAAAAATAACTTTTACACTATCTGTAGTAGCCAATTAGCCAGGGTGCATGGACCCTCCCCATTTATTAAAGGCTTTTAAAGGAAAAAATAACAAATGCACATATTTTTGCAGATAAAAATTAGCATTTATTATTTTTTCACACAGACACCTGCAGAGCATTGCACTCATGATCAGTAGATCATGGGTGCAATGCTAGGCTCCTGCAGACAAACCCTACACCTATCATCATGTACCTCTGTATGGGCTGTCAGTTTCAAACCAGCAGGTAGCATCATCATCTCAGATTTAGACTACTGACCTGAGTGTCTACGATTCTGGCAAATTTTTTTCAAAGACTGTGGACAGCCTATGGATGCAATTTTTGTAACTTTACAACAAACCCAAAGCTCTTTTATAATTTTGAATCTGGTAGAACTGTAACTGTGCCAGAGACAAACACTATAGACCAGAGTATCTGCACATTTCCAAACTGATTAAACAGTAGATTGTCAAGCTCTAGTTGCTTTTTTATGGTTTGGCAACAAAGCTGACATTCTTCTATCTGTAAAATGAAGTTACACTACACACCAGAGCACCTGTGCATTTGCAACATTGCTTGCACTTTTGATGATCAGTGCCCTGATGATCAATGCCCAGCAGTGCCATACACCTGTGCCCAGCAGTGCAGCCCACAAGTGCCCAGCAGTGCTGCCCACCTGTGCCCAGCAGTGCCACCCACTTGTGCCCATCAGTGCCACCCACCTGTGTCCCAGCAGTGCCCCCCATCAGTGCCACCCATCAGTGCCCAGCATTGCCACCAGTCAGTGCCCAGCAGTACCAGCAGTTAGTGCCACCCATCAGTGCCCATCAGTTCTGCCCATCAGTTCCGCATATCAGTGCCCATAATTGTTTCATATCAATGCAGCATCATCAGTGCCGCATCATCAGTACCAGATCATCAGTACCACCTATCAGTGTCGCCTATCAGTGTCGCCTAAAGTGCCCATCACTGCTGTCTATCCGTGCCACCTCAACAGTGCCGCCTATCAGTGCCCATCATTGCCGCCTATCAGTGCCCATCAATGTTGCCTATCAGTGCAGCCTCATCAATGCACATCAGTGCAGGAGAAAATTTACCTGTTTGCAAAATTTTACAATAGAAACAAAGAAAAACTTTTTAAAAAAAAAATGTTTTGCTCTATTTTTTGTTTATAGCGCAAAAAATAAAACACCCAGTGGCGATTAAATGCCACCAAAGGAAAGCTCTATTTGTGTGAAAAAAAGATAAAATTTCATATGGGTACAGTGTTGCATGATCGTGCAATTGTCATTCAAAGTGTGACAGCGCTGAAAGCTGAAAATTGGCCTGGGTAGGAAGGGGGTGCCCAGTAGGCAAGTGGTTAAACAAAGAGGTAAACAATGAAATTACTGAGTAATTAAAAGTTTGTTTTATAGACAAAACCAAAAGATAGATTCTTTATATTTTTTACATATACAATATAACAAAACAAAAAGTAAAAGTAAGCAATTCTTGGCCAAAAAAATAAACAATAGAAAATCTTGTCATATGACAATGTCCTTAAAATAAAATAAGAACTCAAAAGAAATTATTTACTCTACACTTTCCATAACCTAAACTGTCAGATCTCTCCTACTCTTTCAAATACCAAGTGTAATTATCGACATAACCATAACTACAGTATATAGTGATCCAATGATCATGGCCACACATTCTCTCACACTCAAGGCCACCTTCCTGAAAAATCTAAATATTTCTTGCATGCCTCAAACTTTCCTTCATGCAATTTACAAAAAACATACATTACCAACTCATATACCAAACTATCCATGCCAGTCAAACCCTTCAACATTGTCCCTAAGAACTTCCATACCTCTTTCGCAAAGTCAAACTCCCAAAAAATATGCAATACATTCTCAATTCTCATGCACCTCTATCTTTGACATCTCATTGTCAACAAAACACCTCCTCCTCTGAAATTCCTTCACTGGTGAACACTTATACACTGTCATCCTTGCTATACAGTTGTGGCCAAAATTATTCAACCCCCAATGCTGTAAAGGGGTTTAGGGACTATAGTGTACATTTGGAATTGTATTCAGAATCAAATCCTACAAGGACGTTGTAACTACCCAAATGCAACTAAAATGACATCAATTGTTTATGTAATACAGTAGTAAATGGTTCTTATGTGGTTTCTTCATTGCCACAATTATTCAACCCCTTAAAGACTACCACTCTGAAGAACAGAGGTTCATACAGGTGCTTTCCATCAGGTATTGAAAACACCTGTGGATGTCACCGAGCAGCAATCAAGCATAATAAGCACCAATTAGGCAGCTTTAAAATGACTGTGATACTCAGCTCCTTCTAGACATTTACTGGTGTGGTTACAAACATGGTGAAGGCAAGAGAATGGTCCAGGAAGACAAGAGAAGAGGTGATTTCTCTTCACAGGAAGGGCAATGGCTATAAGAAGATTGCAAAGATGTTAAACATACCAAGAGACACCTTAGGAAGCATCATTCGCAAATTCAAGGCAAAGGGCACTGTTGAAACGCTACCTGGTCGTGGCAGAAAGAAGATGCTGACTTCGACTGCTGTGCGCTACCTGAAGCGTAGAGTGGAGAGAAGTCCCCGTGTGACTGCTGAGGAACTGAGAAAAGATTTGTCAGATGTGGGTACAGAAGTTTCAGCCCAGACAATAAGACGCACACTGCGTAATGAAGGCCTCCGTGCCAGAACTCCCAGGCGTACCCCCTTGCTGTCTCCAAAGAATAAGAAGAGTCGACTGCAGTATGCCAAAAGCCATGTGGACAAACCACAAAAGTTGTGGGATAGTGTTCTGTGGACTGATGAAACAAAATTAGAACTGTTTGGGCCCATGGATCAACGCTATGTTTGGAGGAGGAAGAACAAGGCCTATGATGAAAAGAACACCTTGCCTACTGTGAAGCATGGTGGAGGGTCAATCATGCTTTGGGGCTGTTTTGCTTCTGCAGGTACAGGGAAGCTTCAGCGTGTGCAAGGTACCATGAATTCTCTTCAGTACCAGGAGATATTGGATGGAAACGTGATGCAGTCCGTCACACACCTGAGGCTTGGGAGACGTTGGACCTTTCAACAGGACAATGATCCCAAGCATACCTCCAAGTCCACTAGAGCATGGTTGCAGAGGAAAGGCTGGAACATTTTGGAGTGGCCATCGCAGTCACCAGACTTAAATCCGATTGAGAACCTCTGGTGGGACTTAAAGAAAGCAGTTGCAGTGCGCAAGCCTAAGAATGTGACTGAACTGGAGGCCTTTGCCCATGAAGAATGGGCGAAGATACCCGTAGATCGCTGCAAGACACTTGTGTCAAGCTATGCTTCACGTTTAAAAGCTGTTATAACTGTAAAAGGATGCTGTACTAAGTACTAAGATTGAATGTCACTTGGGGGTTGAATAAAACTGATAATGCTGTGAGCACAGAAAAGACATTTGTGGTTATTTCATTATAACTGTTATGTTATATTTGTCTGACCTACAAGTGCCTCTTTAATGTAAATGTAAGCAAGATGACTGAATGATCAAAAGCAATGTCAAACTGGCCAAAACACTCAATTTCAGTGGGGGTTGAATAATTTTGGCCACAACTGTAGATGATAGGTGGATGGCTGGATCACAAAGAACAGACTCTGCAAATAAATGCTCCTCAGGGGAGACAGGGAAGGGTACCCATAGTGTAGTATTAAAAAAAAGTATTTATTGGTAAAATGAGTGTTTACAAACAAAAACGAGCAATAAAAACAAAGTAACAGCGTCAGGACTGCAGAGATGAACTAACCCTCCAGAGTCAAAGCTGGCCACCGGGCCTCCACGTGGCACTGGCGGCGTGACATCACGGCATCCTGGCTCCTTCTAACGCGTTTCATGTGCACGCACTTCTTCAGCGGAAGATGGTATCTTCCATCTTAGGGCTCGCTCCATCCAGACTCCATCCCTGTGAGGCCTTAGGAGGAGGAAGATAAAGAGGAGTGGTTGCCATTGGGACATTGAAGCTGAAAATGACATGGGGAAGGTGAGGTTCACTGCATTCAAATCTTGGGAATAGTAAGTGGTAATTACATTACATACTTTGCATCCAAAGCTTCTCTATTCACCACAGGCCACAAAAAATAATATCACAATGCCATGCCACCATGTGAAATGCTGTGAATTTTGTTTAAAAGGGTCCATCTTGTACTCTGACAGATTTCATCTGTGTGGTTACGGTGTTTGGGTACCATCAACACCCAATTTTTGCAGCTGATTGATGGTAGCACAAAATATACAATTTTTGCCCAGGGTAAGTCCTCTCCCCTGCAGGAATATTCATTTTGGGTTACAGGAGTTTGTCTCTATTAATACCCAGATCCTAGATTTTACAAAGCATTTTTTCTGGACATAAAAATTGTTACATTTTTGGATTGGGTAAATACTGCATTGGCCATTATTTTTTTGGTTACATTAAGAATGGACAACATATTATGCTTCCTTATGCTGCTCCTTAGTTGAGAAATTTACCCACTCACTTATTCACTCACTTTAAAGTAGTATTTTCTTAAAAAAGCTCGGTCTCACTATTTACCTTTATTCTGCCCTATAAAACATGCTTTAAAATACATTATATTGCCAAATGTATTGGGACGCCTGCCTTTACACGTACATGAACTTTAATAGCATCCCAGTCTTAATCCGTAGGGTTCAAAATTGAGTTGGCCCACCCTTTGCAGCTATGACAGCTTTAACTCTTCTGGGAAGGCTGTCCACAAGGTTTAGGAGTGTGTCTATGGGAATGTTTGACCATCCTTCCAGAAGCACATTTGCTAGGTCAGGCACTGATGTTGTACGAAAAGCCTGACTAGCAGTCTCCACTCTAATTCATCCCAAAGGTGTTCTATAGGGTTGAGGCCAAGACTCTGTGCAGGCCAGTAAAGTTCTTCCACCCCAAACTCACTCATCCATGTCTTTATGGACCTTGCTTTGTGCACTGGTGTGCAGTCCGGTTGGAACAGGAAGGGGCCATCTGCAAACTGTTCCCAAAAAGTGGGAGAATGAAATTGTCCAAAATGTTTTGGTATGCTGACGCCTTAAGAGTTCCCTTCACTGGAACTAAGGGGCCAGGCCCAACCCCTGAAAAACAACCCCACACCATAACCCCCCCTCTGCCAAACTTTACATTTGGCGCAATGCAGTCAGGTAAGTACCATTCACTGGCAACCGCCAAATCCAGACACGTTTATTGGATTGCCAGACAAAGAAGCATGATTAATCAATCCAGAGAACACTCTGCTCTAGAGTCCCGTGGCAACGTGCTTTACATCACTGCATTCAACACTTTGCATTGTACTTGGTGATGTAAGTCTTGGATGCAGCTGCTTGGCCATGGAAACCCATTCTATGAAACTCTCTATACACTGTTGTTGTGCTAATCTGAAGGTCACATGAAGTTTGGAGGTCTTTAGCTATTGGCTCTGTAGACAGTTGGTGACTTCAGTGTGTGCTTCAGCATGCGCTGACCCCGCTCTGTCATTTTATGTAGCCTGCCACTTAGTGGCTGAGTTGCTTCTGTTCCCAGTTGCTTGCACTTTGTTATAATACCACTAACAGTTGACCGTGGAATATTTAGTAGCAAGGAAATTTCACAGATGGACTTATTGCACAGGTGGCAACCTATCATAGTACCAAGCTTGAATTCACTGAGCTCCTGAGAGCAACCCATTCTTTCACAAATGTTTGTACAAGCAGTCGTCATGCCTAGGTGCTTGATTTTATACACCTGTGGCCATGGAGGTTATTGTAACACTTGAATCCAATGATTTGGAGGGGTGTCCCAATACTTTTGGCAATATAGTGTATGTGTAAATAATTCCTTAAAATATGTATTTCCTTTGTCCCAGGGAGAATAAAATTTAATTTTTGGATTTACAGATGGAGCCCATCTGCTCCCTCCCTCTCTAATTGTTTCTGATGATAACTATTTATGTGCAGAAAAATCTGTATGATTTCTAGAATATGTGTCAGAAAACCAACAGTCTGATTGATATTGGGCATGGTTTCTTAGCTGTGTTTGTAACTGCATGATTTACCCATCATTAATGTGCAAACAACACACTTATTGTTTTATTGCCTGATGCTAAATGCCTGCTCAATCACTCATAAATTGTGATCTGTTAAAATAGGCTTTTAAGGTATTTTTTAAGGATGCTAAATGCCTTCCAAATCTAGCAGAATTTTCAGCCTGCATAAAAGAGGCTTTTTATCTGTGATGTCAACCTGTATGTTGTTTCTATTGTCAGTGCCATAAAAGGTGTTCTAGCTGTGGTGCAAACCTGTATGCTATTTCCATTATCAGTGTAAAAAAGCCACTCTTTTTTAATATGTGCTAAATTCCTGCTTAATCTCTCAGAAATTGCAAACTGTTCAAAAAGGCTTTCTAGACGTGGTGCAAACCTGTATGCTATTATCATCATTAGCGTGGGGCAAACTTCAACACTAAAAAGACACATTTTTTTAATGGAAGCTACATGACAACTCTGTCCAAACAAATTTTTCGTAGCTGTGGTGCAAACCTGTAGTATAATTCCTTTATCAGACTTTTTTATGAATGCTAAATGGCTATACAAAAGCTCCTAAATTGTAGTCCATAAAGGCTTAAAGTTCACCTTTTCAAAAAAAATAATAAATGCACATCTTTTTGCAGGTAAAAAAAATGTGCATTTATTATTTTTTTATTGGGAGTATTTAAAGCATTACACTCATGATCATCAGATTGTGTGTACTATGCAGGGCTCTTGCAGACTCTGTGTGTAAGCTGGCTGCTCATACCTCATACGAGCAGTAAGTTACACACTGACAGTAAGCCTCAATGACCTGCCACAACACTCAAACAGTGCTGTAGTAGTTCAGTTGGAACTACAGCCTGACAGCCACAAAGACTGTCCATAGTTGTAGTTTTCCATTCATAGAAGTCCTCTGAGTATTTTTTGAATTGTGGCAGCAGACACAGTGAGAAAATCCCTGCTTTCACAGTGGGGACTTGGGGGGAGCAGCTGCAGCAGTAACATCAGTGGTGTATTTAGGTTTTGTGCTGCCCAAAGCAACACAAAAATCAGACTCCCTGCTTCCCCTCCCCAGCGGAGGGAGCCTGATTTTGACCAAAAACACCCCTGCCCCCCCCACCCAAGAGAGCTTTCCACTAACACGCACGCATCCCCTCCCCACGGCGAGAGAGAGAAAGACACTCATCTTTACAGCTTGTGACATCTCTGGGAACGAGAGTTGGGCTCTGCATACACCATCAAGCAGCCCAAAGCCTCTCTTTGTATCCACCTAGTCCCCATGCCGCAGGTGTCCCTTCTTCCAGGGGCTGCCTCTCTGAAAAATGCTGCCTTAGGCAAATGCCTTGTTTGCATTGTGGTAAATACTCCCCTGTGTAACATGTTACAAGTTACACCCTGAATATGTGAGTAACATGTAACATGTTAGAAAAGGTGAAGTTATCCTTTACTGTGCTGGCAAACTGCCATATTTTATCCCTCTATTCTTTTAACCACCTCCTATCCAGCCAAGTACATAAATAGCCAGGTGATAGCTTCCCGTTTCTGAGTGGACATTCCTGTAAGTCCCTCAGAATGGGTGCCTGTGCGTGCCCCCGAGGCCACAACACATCATAGATCAGGATATGGGCTCTCTGATTGGCTCACTTGATCACATGATGTGATGCTGTGTCCAATTACAGCAATCACTGAATGTAAACAGAGACATGTGTCTCTGCAGTTATTTTTCCTCGCTGAGCTCAGTGAGAGCTTAGTGCGTGCGGGGGGGGGGGGATGCTTCAGCCTGTGACAGCTGATCTGTGTAGCTTTTATTGCTCAGCTGCACAGATCTCAGAGACTGCAGCCGTCCCACACCAGTGCACCAAGCATCATCTGTCCCTTTCCACAATGCTCAACATCAGTCACAGTGTCCCATAAACACCTGTCAACATCTGTCACAGTGACTAGTGCACATCAACATCTGTCGCAGTGTCCCATTAACATCTGTCACAGTGTACAGTGCAAATCAACATCTGTCACAGTGTACAGTGCAAATCAACATCTGTCACAGTGTACAGTGCAAATCAATATCTGTCTCAGTGTCCCATCAACATTTGTCAACATCTGTCGCAGTGTACAGTGTACAGTGCACAAAAAACATCTGTCACAGCGCAACAGTGAACAAAAACATCTGTCACAGTGTACCAGTGCACAAAAACATCTGTCAGTGCACAAAACAAATAAATAACAAAAATAAAAAAATGTAAAGCACCCCCCTGTGAACCTTTGCACGTGTGCAAAGGCAAATGCACGCATTGGTCTCATACATATATACGTAAACAATGATTGCATCAAATGTGTGAGGTATTGCCGAGAACATCAGAGCAAGAGCAATAATTCTAGCACCAGACCTCCTCTGTAACTCTAAACTGGTACCAAACTTTTTGGTATTTTTTCATTTTTAGAAAAAAATAAAAAATTCAGTGGTGATTAAATACCTCAAAAAGAAAGCTCAATTTGTGTTAAAAATTACTGAGTAATTGTCATTCAAAGTGTGAGAATGCTGAAAGCTGAAAATTGGCCTGGGCAGGAAGGGGGTGAAAGTGCTCTGTATTGAGATGGTTTAAGACGACTCAAATTTTAGATTTGTAATTTAATGTATTTACATTACGATGTAATTTACATGTAATTTTTCTGCTTTCTCCTTCTAGAATACTGGAGTAGCAAAAAATCTTCAAGAAGTCCACATCAATTTTTTTAGAATTACATAATATACAATATACATTTTTTGTTGATGCACACTTTAGCGGCAAGTTTTGTCACATGAAAAATTGTGCCGCGATCGTGGCAAAAATGTCCCACATTGAAATGGCACCCGAATACGCAATCGTGTGTTCTCACATTTTTACATCGTATTTTCAAATGACGGGCAGAATCGCTGCGTCATCGCTTGAAACACCCTAATGTGAATGGAGCCTTATTGAATTTTATTAAGTTTATGTGTAAATATACAGTATATAAATATACACTATATTGCCAAAAGTATTGGGATGCCTGCCTTTACACACACATGAACTTTTTTTTTTTTATATATTAACAGTTTTTATTGGTTTTCAAGTAAATCAAGTGTTACAGAAAACAAAGGGAAAATAAAACAAGCAAAACATAGAGGTACATCGATGGCTAAGATTACATTTGGTCAAGACCAGTGGAGGCATATAGTAACAGTGCGAGAAAAATCAGGGTCTTACAATTTGGGCTGGCATAGAGGAAGAGAAGGTATCCCACGGGAGCCAAATCATCTCAAATACAGCAAACGAACCACTATGTGAAGCAGTTAAACACTCCATCTGTCTTACATCGGTAATAAGTTTATACAAAGTTGGCAATGAAGGTGGGGTAGAGGATAACCAACACATATAGGAATACTTCTCCTGGCCGCGGTTAGCACATGTGCAGCAAGTTTTCTGGCTAGTTTAGATAGACCCGGGAATGGCAAGCCCAGCAAAAAATGCAGTGGGTCAAATGGGAGAGAAACTTGCAACAATGATTGCAACAAGGAGCGGACCTCTTCCCAAAAAGGAGCAATGGAGCTGCAGGTCCAAAAAATATGATAAAGAGAGCCAGAAGCTCTACTACAGCGCCAGCAGGCAGGAGAAGCACTCAGATTATAAACATGAAGAACTTCCGGTGTTTTGTACCACAACATCATAATCTTGTATATGTTTTCCTTAAAAACCACACAAATAGAGGATTTAGATGCATTATCCCATATTTTCTTCCACGTTAATAAGTCAATATCACGTTGTATAAATTGAGACCACCTACGCATATAAAGGTGAGCGTCATTGGACAAAGGGGGGGCCTCCATAAGAAGTTTATAGGTGCTAGAGACAATACCCCTTTGATGGGGACCTTCCATACATAGATGTTTGAAGGGGGTAGGTTTCCCCAAGCTCAATGAGGGTGATAGAGTAGAGAAAAAACTGGCGTATTTGAAGGTATATATATAGATGACGAGAGGGTAGAGAGGCTTTCCTCTGGAGATCCGAGAATGAATGTAACTTACGAGTCACCGGGTGTACCAGATGACGTAGTTGAAAAAGGTTAGATACTACCCAGAGAGACATCCGGGACATGGCCATATTGTCTGGAAGATTAGGGTTATAAAGGATATTTGTCAGTGGGGAGCACTGAGAAGCCAATGTGAATTTAGCCTTACATTTCTGCCAAACAGTCAATGAAAAAAAGCATGGGGCCTAGGAGTAAGTGGCGAAAAAATGGACATCCACCGCCGAGGTCGACCAGAGAAGGGAACACAGATGAACTGGGGACAATTGTAAAGACTCGATCTCAGTCCATGTATTGGGAGGGTAGTGAATGGACCATGACATAAGAAAGGGAAGGTGGGTTGCAAAATAGTATGTTATTATATCCGGTGCTCCCAAGCCTCCCCTAGAATGTGGGGAAAGCAGAACAGAACGAGCAATCCTGTGACGCCTGTTATGCCAAATAAAATGTAAGAAAGATTTCTGAAGGGAGTGAAGCTTGGACATAGGAACGGGTACGGGGAGGGTTGCAAACAAATATAAAAGTTTGGGTAGCACGGTCATTTTTAAGACATTAATACAACCGAGGAAAGAGATAGGCAAGGCATCCAAGTGTTTCAGGGAGCAAGAAATTGCTATAAACAGTGGGGGAAAATTGGCCTCGTATATGGATT